TAAAACTACCTTCCTAAATGCTACTGAGTCCACAGCACTAAAAGATGGGAAAGGTCCCTTCTCCCTCTCTGTACACATGCCAATAAACTAAAACTCTGAAGTTAGAGCCAAAGACCTGGAGGAAGTCAAGCATCACACCTGAAAGTGATTAAGAAATGATTTCTGCCCTTCCCGTAAAGACGACATTCATTTTTCATGGAAATTTGTAATCAGAGGTGAATTTCAGAATCACGAGTGCTGTCCCTTTTCTTTTACAGTATTGGACAAAGTAATTTGATGTGGCTAAGGCAGAACTTACTTTTTAAAAAGAAAATCTTTGCATTTTTTTATAACCAGATTTTCTTAAATTTACAATGATAACATCCCTGTTATTTAGGCATTCAACAAAAAAATTTAGAAAAATTGTATGTTTCTCTTGTTTTGTCCAATAAACATAATTCTGAAATATTTTAATTTATTAGAAGAATTTTGTTAAAAAATAGGAAAATAATCTATGTTGAAGATTGTCTTTTTTAATATTCTTAAAGGGAAACCTATCTATATTTCATGCAGATTTTTTAAAGGCCATATTTTTGGCTTGAAGTATGTAAGCTTTGGAGTCATTGTATCTTACTAGCTGACAAACCAAAATAACTACTTGGTCTTTTTGGACCAAGTCAGCAGCCATTTTGAAAGAAGCCAATATTTATGGCTATTAATCAGAAACAATATAGAATTGTCTCTCATTTGTTGTCCTGATTCTATGATGCAGAGGCAGACATTACTACAACTAGGTGAACATGAGCCTTACTGGACCACACCCTAACCATTCCACATGGTATTCCCAGCCAGCTGGAACCATCTGCAAGATGGGGCCATTGAGACCAGAATACCTTTCAGAGGTCATCCTGTGCTAAGATCAAATCATGAAGTCACTGTATTGCCTATAACTGTGGGTAGAGTCTCATGAGACAACATTACTGGTGTATTAATGATAAAGAAAATATATTCCATAGGTCTATACTGTTTTTCTACCTTCAAAGAGCTTTTAAACCAGGCACTGATGGTTCAGGCCTATAATCCTAGCTACTTAGAACACAGAGATCAGGACACCCACAGTTCCAAGCCAGCCTTGGGTAAACAGTTCTCAAGACCCTATCTTAAAAATATCCACCCCCCAAAAAGGCTGGCTGTGTGGCTCAAGTGATAGAATGCCTGCCTAGCAAGTACAAGGCCCTGAGTTCAAACTACAGTGCCACCAAAAAAAAAGAAAGGTTTTTATACACATTATCTCAGGTGTGAATTGTTATACCTATCTGATAGAATTCCTTTTGTCCTGCCTACTTTAAAAATATTTTATTATTTTTAAATGTACAAATTTAAGGTGTACAGCATCATGTTTTGGTATACATGTACTCAGCAAAATGATTACTGTAGTCAAGCAAATTAACATATTCGTCTCCTGACAAAGTCACACCCTGCCCAGAGCAAGGCTTATCTGGCTTCTTTAAGGTCAGTGTACATAACTGACTTGATAAAACTAATGTGGTAACTGTAAATACCAGGTACAGTCACTTCAAGTAAGCATAGTCAACCATGGGGTGTTGGTTCCAGGGCCCCTCATGGATAACAAAATTCTTCAAGGCTCAAGTGCTCTATATAAAATGGTGTAGTATTTTGCATATAACCTATCCACATCCTCTAGTATGTTCTAAATCATCTAATGATTGCTTGTAATACCAAATACAAGGTAAATGCTGTATAAACACTTGTTGTAATGTTTTGTTTAGGTAAAATGACAAGAAAAAATTGTTGAGTTGAACATAGTTTTTTTAATATTTTTGATCCACATTGGTTAAATCCACAGATACACACCCACATGTTTGGAAGGCCAGTTGTACTCTGTATTCCATAGGCATACCTTGGTAAAATCTGACAGTAATAACCCAAACTCATCCCTTTGATCTTATAAACCTGGGAGAGGGGAAGATCCAAATGGAGGACAGAGGGTTGTTTTTATTTTTAGATCATCAAAAATTCTAAACTGTTGGTCAAGATGATCCATGAAGAAAGAAAAACAAATTCAAACTATGACTAACAAGCCCTGCTGTGCATGAGTCACCAACTCAAAATCAAGCAAGGCCTCTGGACACAGGAGGAAAAGCATTCAGGAGCCACGTGGTAATCCAGCAGTGAGCTCTGTAATGTGTTGGTCTCTTTATGAAACTATTTCAACACCTGGATGAAGTCCAGAAGAGAGGTCAGGCAGCTTAAAAATTCCTTCTCTTTCTTATGAAGGATGTTTTCGGTGACCTTCAGGAGGTATTTAGGAATGACTTGCTTAGGTGTGAACATGGAAATAGTGGGAGTCTAGACAGCGTTTGGGGGATTACTTGTTTCTAAATTGTCTCCAAGTCATTACACAGTCCTGCTTCTTGAAGGAGGAAACCAGTTTTGTAAAGAAGGGAAACATCTGTCCTATAGATTTCACTTATATAAACTGGAAAGGGATCATCTTTATAAGCAAAATATAAAACACAAAATAGCATAAAGCATGTCAATTAAACATAGAGATTGCAGTCTTTTGTTTTGTTTTGTTTTCCTCATTGCTGCTTTTGTATTAAAATTCAGGGAAAGTCCAAAATTACATTTGAACTTGTTCACTCTCTAGATCCAATGGGGACACCCTTTCCACAAGATGTTGCACTTCTAATAAATATAATGATGAATTCATTTGGAATTCCCAACTGAGTGTATGTATCTTAAGGATATTTTTCTCTCTGCTTTGTCAATTTCCCATAGAGACTGGACTGCTTATCTGGGGAAAATGCCACAATACTTGATCTGACCTGGGAAGTTTCCCCAGTTAAGGTAAATTGATGCTCCCAAAACCTATTTTTCATCATAGTGAGTGAGACTAGCAATGAGGGCAGAGGATAAAAAAGACAAAGAAGCTAATTGGACAAACTCTTGCCTAAATGCTGCAGAAAGTGCTTGATGCCTGGGACGGCCAGCCACTTGGCAGCTTGGAAGATTGCTGGTCTCACCTCAGAACTTGCATCCCCCTCACTACCCTTTCATACAAAACAATAGGATGACTGGCTCCAAACTTCTCCTTCTCAGCCACATTCTGAGGACTCTTTTCTAAGGCAGCCAAAGTCAGGTCACCAAGGTCCCCACTTCTACTCATATAAAATAAGGCTAAGGCACCATGGGCTGATTCCTTAATTGCCATTGCACACAAATTTCTCTCAACCTAGCACCATTTTCCCTCACATAAGTAGTGAAAATTAATAATGATTGAAAAAATGGTATAGTGCTCAAGAAAACAGTGATGTAAGAAACACCATTCCAAAAAGTGGCACATCTTCACAGTGACATTTGTCAGACATTTATTTTGTTCATGGTTGGTCAATTTGATGAGGTTATTGCGTTAGTTAGTTCTCCATTGCCATGACAAAATATTTAAGAAAATCACCTTAGAAGGAGGAAAGCTTTATTTTGGTGTATAGTTTAGATGCTTCATCCCATGGTCACTTGACCCATTGTTTTCAGCCTGTGACAGCAGTTGGGAGTATGTGATGGAGGAGGCTGCTCATCTCATGGAAGCCAGGAAGCAGAGAGAGAGGAAGGGACCAGAATCCCAATATAGCTATTAAGGGCATGTCTCAATAACATAACTTCTACTATCTCGTATTGTTTCCAACACCTCCTAATAGCATCACAGGCTAGTGACCAAACCCTTAACACACGAGATGTTGGGGAACATATCAGATCCAAAGTATAACAGTTATTGTTGTTGTTCTTGTTTTTATGTATGTATGTATGTATGTATTTATTATTTATAGAGAAAGTGTTTTGTAGCCCAGGTTGGCCTTGAACTCACTTTGTAGCCCGTGTTGGCTGGCCTCTAACTCATGATCATTCAATCTCAGTTTCCTGAAGTGCTGAGACTATAGATGTGCATCACCATGTTCAGCTTGTTCTTATTTTCTAATGACTCCTCATTTGTCTTCTCCTCCAGGACTAGGGAACATTTGCAATGAATAAAAGCACAGGCTTTAGTGTCAGACCAACTATGATGCACATTTTAACTCTGTAGCATAAGAGAATATGCAGGGCACTATCTTTACTGTACAGGTGTAATGATGGTGACTGGTGAACAAACTCAAGATCCTTGAGGGCATTGGCTTTTTTTGGTTTAAATAGTCCAGCATTATTCCTGGCATGCCTCAAACACAGCCTTGGCTGCACAAACATTTTTCTTGGTAGCCATCTATCTGTCTGATATGCATTTATGGAGAACTGATAGGGTGTAATGAAAGTAAGTCCCAATGTCTAAGATGCCTTATTCTTAGCTGTCTCTATCTTCAGGACACAGAGGACACTTCTTGGAGCATCCACAAAGGATAACTTTCCTACCCCACATTAGTCATCTGCTACTGTATAATGAATCAGCCCAAAGTTTAGTGGCTTAAAACAATAACCATTTATGCATGGTCACAAGTCTGTGGGCCGACCGGATAGTTTTGTTGATTTGGGCCAGGATTACCTAACCTTGACTGGTCTGTCCTATGATTGGCAGCTTGACTGAGTACTGGTTGGTCCAGAAGAGGCTTCTGAACCATTAATGGCTGTTATGGGCTCCTTCTTAGTGCAATGAGGATAAATGGACCATGTGTGTTTTATCCTCTAGCAAGCTAACTCTGACTTGTTCAGGAGACCACAGACTCTAAAAGTAAAAAAAAAAAAAAAAAAGAGTCTCACAATGTGCCAGAAATTTCCAAGTCTCTACTCAGTCATCTCAAAACACACGACAAGCTAATGTGAATTGCCTCTTGAGGGAAGAGCTACAAGGTCACATCGAAAGGGCATGGACACTGGAATGGAAAATTTGGGGCTATTTTTGTGATCCTTTTCCATGTGCCTTTTGATCATAATCCTAATGTGCTTCCTTTCTAATCTACTAGTTGTTTAAGGAATCCATGACCTAGTTCTTTTATTTTACCCTACTCCATCAGGTTTCTTCTGGGTCCATTCAAGAGAGTGTGAAAGACCGAGTGATTGACTCAAGACTGCAGCTGTTTATCACCAAGCCAGGACTCTATACATGCATAGCTACCAATAAGCATGGAGAGAAGTTCAGTACTGCAAAGGCAGCAGCCACCATCAGTATAGCAGGTAGGATGGCCCTGGATCTTTGCATTGCTCCAGGAGAGGGGACAATTAGCACTATTCTGCAATATCTGGCACTGGGCAAGATCTCCTTTTCTTTTCTCTCTTACTCTAGTGCTCTTTGGGCTATTTTTTCCTTCATGGGGATACTCCAGAGGTGACCTAAATATGGATTTTTGGATGATTTGTTGCCTCTAAAGCTAAATCTTCAAATACTTGCCCAAGTGATGGGTAGCAACTTAGAGGAGCTCATTTCTTTCTGTCTCTTTCTTTCTTTTCTTTCCTCCTTTCTTATTTCCTCATCCCTTTTTCCTCCTCTCTCCCTTTTCTTTCCTTCTATGCTTCCTTCCTTCCTTTTCTTTCAGTCCTTCCTTTCTTTCCTTTCTTGCTTTCTCTGGGTTAACTGAACTTCCCAAGGCCCCAAAGCATAAGTTGGCAGACATTTAACATAGTTGAGCCAATTTCTGCATGTCTATTTCTTGAGGGCATTCTCACCTATGAGCCTGACTCTTGTGGTTTTTTGCTCTCTTGTCTTATGCAAGCAACAGCAGAGCTTGCAGGTATTTTCAAGGAAAAGGGCTGATACATGTGTTTCTAGGATATCTGTGTGTGTTATAAAGGTTTATTTTTAAAATTTAATGTTCCAAAGGCTTCTGAGAACATTTATGGAATTCCTAGAGGTGGAAATGACTCCTCTGGCATCAGGAAATGCCAGGCGTGTCATAGTCATAGCAGGTCTACTGTCTAAGGATCAGCCAAGATGTGCTTGGCCTGACATGTAAGGCAAGCACTGGAAGGATATGTGCCCAGGGTCAGCATCCAGAGCCTGCTGCTTCTTATTACAGTGAGAATTCTTTTATCTTCCCTGATGGGGAATTTTCCAGTAATATACATGATTTTAACATCTGTGGTTTTTATTATGAAATGAATAGAGGCCACAGAGAAATATTTGGGGAGAACAGGACAAGATTGGTTCTCTGGGGGATGCCCTTGAAGGGATGAGAAGACTCCAAAACTAAGTTTCTCTCTACCATCTCTTTGAGGAGCATATCTGACATCATATTGGGAAATTATTTCTTCTAGAGAATGACAAGACTGTTAAAAGTAAATTCAACTAAATTTAACAAATAATAATAATTACTACTTACATTTCACTTTGCTGTTTATAAAGCACTTTTGCATGCATTGATTAAATATACTGGACACAGGCCATTGTGTTGGGTAGGGTAAGGAATGGAAAGTTATCAGATGGATCTTGCTTTCCAGGGACTATCAATCTAGAAGGGAAGTCAGTCAGTCACATACTTTATGGCACACACTACTTTTAATTGCAGAAACATAGACAAAGTACAACAGCAGAGTGAGGGAGGGAGAGTTTAAGAGAATCAGGAGGGAGATAGATACCATCTGAACAGAAGATGTAGGTATAAGATAAATAGGTTGAAGTATGTTCAGCAAGCAGCAAGTCAGCTGGCTAGAGCATGCTGGAGACTGGAGTGAGGTTTGAAATGTAGGCTCTAGCTAGTTTATGAAGAGCCTGAGTACATATAATGGTTTCTCCCATCAATGAGAAGTCATTTCTTAATTATTTCAGAGAAAACAAGTGCTATGGTCAGATATATCTTTAGCAAAGTAACAGGTGGAAGGTATCAAGAAGTTGGTAGGTATGGCAAGCTGTTAGGAGACTCTTCCCTGGATCTAGAAAAGTAAAGTCACGAAGGTCTGAGCAACAGCAACGGTAATGGGTTGCTGAGAGAGGAGGAGGGGTGTCTGGACCTACCAGGGTATAGATAAGATTGGCAAATGCTTAAATGTGCAGTGGGTCAAGATGTGTTTGAGATTTTTAAGGAAGGTGTGTAGTCCAAACAATAAATGAAGCAAAACATACGCACATGAGAAGTCCCAGGAGTAATAAAATGCTCAGACTTTCTGATACCTTTGAATTACCTAGTCTAATCTCACTGTCTTTGTTTTATTTTATATTTATCAAGAACTACCGTTAAATCAATCTATATCTATGTAATTTATCTACATATAACATACATATATAACATATATGTGTGTATGTGTACGTATACATACATATTCATTGTGTAGAGAAAGAAAGACTGACAGAGAGAGCACATTTACACATAAACACCGACATCCAAATAGATAATCTGATTTGAGTTAGTTTAACCTATGCCTCTACCGAAAAGAAAGGGATAATTACTGTTACCAATCTTAAGACAATCTTATTTCTGGTAATATGGAGTTCAGGGGAGGGCAAGACCTGTTCTTGTCAGTTAGACCTACCGGATTCCTCATGAAGATCCCTCCAGAATCCCTGAGGGAGCTACCTAAAAGCCTGGGTGCTCCCTGACCAATACTCCAGGGACGTGAGGCCCTCTGATGAAAGAGCAATCCTTTGAGACACTTTAATTTAGGAGTGTTTCCAACAAAAATGGTCTTACATTGCCCAGATCTCTGGGAGTTTGGGTGGGATGCCTGCTTTCTCTAGGTCTGCTTTCAGCCCCTCTCTCCTGTAACCTCCAGGGGGTCTTCCAGAGGTCCTGAGCTTCAATCAGACATGGCACCTCCTTTCACCATTCTGCCAGTGCTTCTTATTCCAGACTCTGCTGTTTCTCATTTCAGTCATCTCCATCCTCCCCTCATGTTCTGTGATCAACAAGCCCTGTCACAGCCCTGTGTTTCACTTGGAAGCTTTTCCTTTGTCTGTTTATTTACTCACCCCAGCAGGAAAACTGGAAATGGAGAGCTGGTGTAGTGTTTGGGATTACATCTAATGATATTTCTAGGGTTTGAAGGACAACAGAAAGGAAAGATTAGCCTTCATTTTCCCAGCACATGTGTGTGCACAAATCCCTGTGCATTGTTTGAGAAAGTCAATATCCTTTTTTCTGAGTCATTTACATTTGCTGTCACCAAAAGAAGGCAAAAACTTTGAAACCTCTCCCTACGAACCAGGAAGCTGCATTCCCCCTCCAGTCACAATCCCAAAAGGCTTAAGTTGCCATTTAAATTCTCTAGGATGCCTGGTATTTAGTCAGATGCCTGGTTCTCTTTATCACCAGAACCAGCAAGATAGCCAGTGCTCGCTGTAATAAACATTGTCCTAGATCAACCCGAGGCCAGCAAAGTGGACACAGGGGTTCAGAAGAGGAAAAATACATGACTTTATTTCTATTTTCAGTGCTACTAAAACATCCTTCACCAGACAGTGAGGTCCAGTTCTGAGTGCTGGTATTCAATCTTAGAATACAGGGATGAGTCTATGCTCACATCCATTCTCTCTTGGTAGCCATTCCCCATTCTACCAGCATGTCTGCCATACCCGATGGCAGCATCTGGGACTTCTGATCTCTAAATTTGCATCTCAAGTGAGTATACATAGCACCATCAAAAATGGGTGATAGGAAAACATCTGATGTGATGATATTGGAGCAACCCACCAAAAATGGATCATACAGTTCTATGTCCCATATTTCAAAGGGAATGATGGCTTAAACTATTACAGAAAAAAGTAGAACATTGAATTCTATAACATAGTTCACATATATGATTCAATATACTCCCATGTTATCAGCTCTATCTCATGTCTGATAGTCATCCCATGTTATTCCGACAGGGGAGACAATTTCCAGTTGCACAATTCCTTTTCCCACTCAGTGCTTTAATCAACAAAACAGGCACCCTGCCTTGACATTTCATGGTGACTTTATCTGATTTTAAAGTAACTAGAAGTGTTTTGTTTTTATTTTTAACAAAAGGGGAAAGAATAAATGAGCAACAGCCAGTAGCCACACTAAATTGCTACCAGATGTGCTATAGTTAGGCATAAAAGGTAAGCAATCTTTTATAACTAGGCAGCTTTCCTGTATTAGAGTAGACATATGTTTCAGAAGAGGGCCAAAGTTTTACTGACTTTTCCAGGTAATTTTAAAGATATTATAAATATTAGTGACTGTTGGAATTTTTTAGAAACTAAAAAAAAATGTAATTTTGAAATAAATTTATTCATTAAGTTTATTAATTTATTTGTCTTAAATTGCTCTGGTCCCTTCCCTGACATCTGTTCACCCACTATCAGAAGAATAGAAGGGAGGGAAGGAGGGAGGGAGGGAGGGAGAAAGGAAGGACAGAAGGAAGGAAGAAAGGAAGGAAGAAAGGAAGGAAGGAAGGAAGGAATCTTGATTAGAGAAATTTCTATAAGAAACATGGAAACCCAATGATTTCTTGATTTTCTTAAGAGTCTAGAGACTACCAATCACTGTTAAATTAGCTTCATTTGCCTTTGTTTACTTGTCCTTGAAACAGTCTATCTAAACATCCTATCTTTTTCCAGGTACCGTGGCTGAATTCTCTTTGCATTGGTTCATCTTCGTGCTCTTGAATTCTCTTTTACATCTTAAGTTGAAGACTTTTTTATAAATGTGACCTTAGCTCCCTCATGTTTCAATAAGTCTTCCTGCTCAGCTGCTATTAGAATTTTCCTTTACTCCTCTAAATTATGTTCTGTATTCTCTGGAAGAACTTCATAATGTCTCCTTCCATCTGTTCTGTCTGCACAATGAGAGAACTGCCATGAGGTTTGGGCCATGTAGGTATCAATTTCCTCAGAGTTCCACAGTAACATAGAGCTCTGTTCATCCTATTTCAAATGTGTTGGTCGTTTTGATTTAAGGAATCCTTGCAGGCCTCTCCTGTAGCTCAGTAAAATTTAAATTCTAAGTCTAAGTTAAAATTTTTGGACAGCATTATTAATAGCTCTTAGATGATCAAAATTATAATCTTATAGCTCAACCTGCCTATTTCAACGAAAGGGAGATGACTTACTGTATTTTATTTTTTCAGAATGGAAATAATTATTAAATATATGATATTGATTTAGCTATCACCCAGTGACTCCTCTGGTGATTAGAGTCCTGCAAATCTTGGACATATGTTGACATTTCCTTTATAGTCACTTAGGAGTCTGTAGGTTCTTATTTCTGAACATAGTTGGGGATGTATCACAAAGGAATCCGCAGCTTCTGTCCTTAAGCTAAGCTTAACCTACATGGGGCTACATTTTGGAGCTAATTATTGGCTAAAACCATGATCTGTATTAAAAGTGCTTTTATAAGTCCATTGTGGGTGACATAACAACTTTGAATGATTTGAACTCAATAGGAACGAGAGAGGTAACAAAAACCCAAGACTACATGTGTGATCATACATTGAATAATTTAAACCTGACAACTACAGAGAGGAAATGATGTTATTTTTCTCCAACATTGGGGACCTAGGGGCCATACTTTCTAGAATCTTCTTATCCCTCTAGGGATTAAATCCATTATAAAATTTTAATTAGATGTTATAATTCCCAAGTAATCTTTACATATTGAAAACCACAAGCAGATGTATTTTAAAACTCTACTCTCTCATCCAATTTAAACATCATCTGCTTCACTCTGCCCATTGTCAGCCAGGTTGTCGCTGAGGAAAATGAAATATGGTCTGCTGCTGTTCTTCACCCTGCCCTTCTCCCTTCTTCCTTTTCTGTTCTTCTGGCACACTGAAGGAAAAGAGGATTTGTAAGGAAGGGGGAAAATGTCCTTTCTTGACAAGAAATACTTTAGTTCTTTCTCTGTTGATTGTGCCAGCTTCTCTGACTAATAATAATAATTCTAGCAATTATAAATTACATTCTTATTGACAGTAGTGTGTGTGTTGGGGGGGGGTTGTGAGTGTGTGTGTGTGAATTTACTGAATCACACATCTTGATGAGATGGGATCTTTCGTATCTTCATTTTGCAGATGAGGAAACTGAAGGTAGGCAGGTGCCCAAGCCTGCATAGCTAATAAATGGCAGATCGAGATTAAAACCCAGTAGGTGCAGTGTCCAGGCTTGTAATGCCTTGATGGTTTGTTCATACTTCTGTGCTGCAATTATCTAACTGCTGACTCTCTCATGGGTCATATGAGTCCCCCGGAGAGTCCTTCAGAGGCCAACACGTCACACGTTACTCTCATGTGAAGGATTTCACATAATCCACAGCCCTTGATCTCGGTCTCTAGTGAGGAGCCTGCAGTTTATTGTTCCTGGGGTTCTTTTGTTTGGTGGCCAGCCTTCTGGGTAACCTAGCAACCTTCCATAGTGTGCCGAGGAGCATCACTGCTAGACACTACCTCTCTGCCCTCAGGCTTTAATGGTTGCACTTCTTTTTAGAACGTAATATTATTTTTTAAAAAACAAAGGAAAAATTCTTTCATCAGCTTTGGGATAGTCTAATTCTTAGACAGTTGAAAGTGCTCCATTAAACATTTTGTAATCATGTGCACAAAAGTTATCCAAGAGGAGACTATCTAGAGAACGAATTCATCTCCTTGACTACTGTTTTTACTGAGATGCCCTCCCACCTTCATTTGAAGGCTAAGAACAAAAGCTGTTTGCCTGACTACAGGGTCTACTTAATGAACAAAGGAAGTCATGATCATGTCCTTTTGGACATTCCAAAGAAATGTTCCAAGTCATGTGTGTATGTGTTTATGTATGTGTTTACACATTTCTTGAAATCACTTACCTTAGATATTGGGAGATTTGACTGGCCAACAACAGTAAAAAAAAAAATCAAATGAGTATATTGGGATCCTGGCTGTGAATGGTTGCAATGAAAATGCCAGCATTTTGATGAGACAAATACCAACCATTTTTAATAGTCTAATTCAACCATAATCTAAAACCAATTCCCTCAACTCAATTTGCCTAATTTGTTAACCTAATGACTACTGTGTCTAATGTTTAAAATTTAAAAATGAAACCTTTTCCAGATAACATGACTGAATATTTATGACTTATTTTTGAATTGTTAATACTCACTTTATCACCAAGATTGTTATATATCATTGTGAGTCTTTTCCCATTTTACTTAATTTTGAACACTTATAGCATTACTTAGCCAATTTGCCAAAAACAACTATCTCCTTACATTTTTGTAGGAAAACAACTTTGGTTATTTTTTGAGTCCATAAGAACTTTAAAAACACACACTCAAGGTTACAAAAACTGTGTTGTTACCAGCCTCTGCAAATGTCCAGTGAGTAATCAGAAATACACTCATTGTATTTAGAGGAAACTGACTTCACCAAGAAAAGAATAGTAGCCAAATGAATCTAAAAATCTCATGTTTTAAATAAGGAGTGGACTTTGACATTGAGAGAAATTCTAATAGGCAAATTGGTTTTAGACAAAGCATATGTTTCACTTTTATAATGGTAAAGCACTTAGTAAAGAGTAAGAAGTTTTAAATTTCCCCTACTAAAAGAAGACAAGATAATTCAAAACTGCTGGTCATTGTCCACCCTTCCAAGAGCTCTCCTGCCATGAGAGAGCCTGAGCTGGGCCTTTCCTGTTGAGAGTCACATAACTCTCCAGAGGAGAGCCACTGTCTCCTCAGAGCCCTGAGGCTTTTCCTCCTCTGTGGGCACAGTTCGTTACATAATTTTCAGGGTTCACTACAAAATAAGAATGTTCAAAAAAAAAAAAAACCCACCGTGTTAAGACAGTAACAACTGAGCACTAAACCAACCATTGGGCCCTTCTGAGCACAGGACCCCGTGTGACTGACTGTCCAAGTCACACATGCATAAAGCCAGCCTGACCTGCAGGGAAAACAGTTTTTTAACTTCTCTTCTATCCACTCCCCTCCTGTGCGTTCTTTCTTAACTGCCACCTCTTGGTTTTTTTAAGGCAAAATTCCCCGATGGATATGGAGAAAAATTCTAAGCTAAGGCATTGTCTTGGACTGATGATGGTTATGGCTACCCTCATGTGAAAAGATTACAGTTCCTGGGACAAAATTCACTTACTCTCTTCTCTAAGTCTTCCTGTTAATGCAGTATCCTACTAGAAGCCGAGAACTTTAAAAAAATCTTCTTAGAGATTAATGGTATCAAAACCATCTCTTCCAAACCACAAGATGAAAATGTACTAACTTTCTTTTTTTCTTCCCCTTTTAATTTGATTTTCCATGGGAACTTCCTTTCCTGCTAATAGAATGGAGGTAAGAAACTATTATACCAATGTTTTGTGTTGTTCCTGTTTTTATTTGACACAACATTGACACTGTCTGCTATTTGCTGGGCACTGTAAACTTTTTGAAAATTTTTAATGTCTAAGCCTTGTAATATGCTTACAAGATGATGATTGATGATGGTGGTGATGATGAAGCTAAAGGTAGATGACATCTACTAAACACTGCATATCAGGTACTGTACTAAGAGTTTTATGAATTATTTAAATGAATCCTCAACTCATCCCTATGAAATAGGGACCATAATCATCTCTATTCTCAGAAAAGAAACAAAGGTCTCTTCGAACAGGAGAGATATACAGCTAATAAATGATGAATTTGAAAATGGAACCCAGGATCAACTCCAAAACTCTCCTTCATAGATTTTTCTAGGAGATAAGAAAGAGTATTTTATCTTATAATATTTTGCAAATTACAGGGCTTCATATGCAGTGCTTATTAAAATTGACTTTCATAAAAACGCTATAAATATGATCACTATTTCCACCTAATTTTGCCATTGAATAAAACTGATACTGAGTGATTTGTCAATTACTGTAAGAATGACTATTGTAGTACCTTTATGAGCACTGGTTTTCTTATTTTGACATTTCAATGATTTTATGAGAGAACTATCACTATCCCCATTCTTTTGTATGAGGAACCAGATGCACCAAGAGTTACATAGACCAAATAGGTAGCAAGCTCAAAGCATCCACCTGAGTTGACATTGACAGACTCAAGGACCCCAACTCATAACTATTACACTGAGCTGTCTTACCCCAGATAGCACAGTAACTGAGCAAAGTGTGGAAGTCCAACCATTGATTTAAATTCCATAGAATAATATCATTTATTGCATATCAAAATTTGATTTGTTTTAAGTCTTATTCTAGTTCATACAACTTTGATGCATTTATTTACCCAATGAATAGTTATTGACTTATTACATGGCTATCATAGTTCTAAGAGACTCCACAGTGAGGCTGAATATGTACTGATGAAATATATGACATAAGTCTGGTAAAAGTTAAATTAAGACGTAAGTGATTTGACACTGAAGAGATGCCCTTTATTGTCACTTACCCTGTAGCACACCCACCCTTCTTGTGCATTTTTAAGCCAAGTGTTCTATTCTTGGCACCATATTGGAAATGGAGACAAAAACCCAATTGTATATCTTCCCTGCCCCAGAGGAATTTATATTTCATAAGGACACACACAAAGATGAAGATTAATTACAAGACAACATAAACAATGAAAAATTACAAGTTCCGATGGCTCAAAGTACAGACAAAGATAATTCACATGAAAATAAACTCAAAAAAGGAAATTTAAACTCATTGGTAGCTAAATAAATGCTAATTAAAGCACAGTTTCATGCTGGGCATGGTGATGCGTGCAGAGGCTGCAATGAGAGGCAAATCTGGGTTACATAGAAATTTCCAGCTGCCTAGGCTACACAGGGAGCCTCTGACTCAAAACAAAACACACAAAACCTCATCCATTTTCCACTCATGATAACACAAGTGTTCTCAAACACTGCTGGTGGACAGAAAGTTGCTATAACATTCACGTTTTGAACTTGTCTGTTTTTATTATGGACCATACACTGGTTGTATCTGTTGGCTGAGTAAATCCACTTGCAATCCTCTCCTAAGGAAATGGTAAAATCTATGAACCACAGCACTCCACACAGCTTTTATTCCTATTGTGGTAACATATAAATGATCTATATACCTACCAATAAAGGAAATTGATATGTGATTAAAAGCTATGTGTTTGAAAAATAATTAATGGCATAAAGAAAAGTAAATAATATGCATTCACAGTGTAATTCTGATTACATTTTGTGTGTATACTAATTATAACTGATATGCGTGAAAATATGTATTACAATGTTTTTATTTGGCTAATACAATTTTCCAATTTTTTAACTTCAAATTTGTCTTCTTCATACCACTTCTTATAATAAATAGGCATTAGCCTTAGTCAGAAGAAACACAAGGGGTTTTTCAGAGGAGGCATGTCCTTCTTGCTGAGGACATGGGGTTTGGCATTTTAGAAAATGACACTTGATCTGCATCTTAGAGCAGAAGTTGGCCCTTCTGTGAAGGGCCAGATATTACCCACACTCTGCTCTGTGAGCCATACAGGCCTCCTTGCAACTGCTCAGCTCTGCTGCAGAAGCACAAAAGCCACCACAGACAATGCATGAACAGGAGGAAACGCTTCTGCTCCAGTCAAACTTCATCTAGAGACAATGAAATTTGAATTTCATACAGCTTATATGTGTTGTGAAGTATTTTTCTTTTGAGTTTTTGTAACCATTAAAAAATACAAGCCTAGCACCAGTGACTTATGCCTGTAATCCTAGTTACCCAGGAGGCTGAGATCTGGAGGATCACAGCTCAAAGCTGGCCCAGCCAAAAAAAGTTAGTGAAATCTCATGGCATACCTGTTACCCTAAGCTACACGAGAGGCTGAGATTGGGAGGATTATGGTTCCAGGCCAGCCTGGGCAATAAAGAAAAACAACTTTGTGAGATCCCATCTCAAGGAAAAAAAAGCTGGGAGTGGTGGCTTATGCCTGTCATCTCAGTGATGGCAGGAAGCATAAAACAGGAGAAGCACAGTTCAGGCTAGCCTTGGCATAAATGGGGACCTTATTTGAAAAATTACTAAAGTAAAAAGGGCTGGGCATGTGGCTTAAGTGGTACAGTTCCTGCCTAGCAAACACAAGCTCTGAGTTCAAACTCCAGTACTGTCAAAAATTAATTAATAATTAAAAAGATAAAAATGAAAATTTTCCTTTAAACAAAAACCTTAAGAAAACTATATGTATGTACATGTATACAGTGCTTCAGCAAAAGTGACAATCACAGTATATATTATGTGAAAACGGAAACTAGTTGTAAGTCTGTGTAAAAGCATTTTGTCCTAATTGACCACATACCAATGTTTTAACATAGCACCAAAAATTATTAGTGTAGTTTTGAATCTGAGTTTTGCTTTAAGAATTTTTATTAACAGATTGGTGTGTGAATTGTATCTGTCGACCTCTGAGTTAGCAAAAAAGGTACCAGGCACAAAGGGATTTAAAAAAAAAACATTTCCAGTTGCTTAAGAGATGAGAAGTGGCACAGAACCTTGGCTACCTTTGTTGGGAAAGTTCAAGGTGAAAGAAGGAAGTTTCTGTGTAAGAGAAGATTTGTCTGTACCCAGACAAATCCAGGCACAGTTGTCAAATGTGCCTCCCCTAGAGAGAGAGGATACAAGGTATGGAGTTTCCACTAGAGCAGAGAGGAATTATTGTCCAAGTCGGACATGGCTGGTCATGTGCAGATGCCTTGGGCAAAGGGAGTAGATGTTGCTTTCATAGAAACTGGAAAGTAACTTATAAAAATGTTTTGTTGACTGTAATTGATACAAGTTGAAGTAGAGAAATGGGAGGAAAGGATGTAGTAAGAGTCCTTTCAATATTCCATTTGACCACATCTGTTATAAAATTGAAAGGGGAAGTTAGGTCCTAATATCCATTGTTGCCTTTACAGAAAGGGGAAGCCAGCCAGGTTTAGTTTCTCAGGAGGAAAGACAGTGACTAGTGTTTTTGAAGAGATGGCCCTGTAGGGTATTCCAGAACAATCTGCATTCTGTGAAGGGATCCCTGTGACCTCTGCCCCACTGCTCAAATGAGCAACAGGACCAGATGCTTCTAGGATTGCCCCAACAGCAGTCCTAAGAACAATAGGCAGAGAAACGTGGCTTTAGCTGGACAGGGAAGGGTTATATCATATGCGAAAGGCCACAGAAGACACCAGTAGGATGTCTGTGAATTCGACTCATTCCCCAGTGCTTGCTGGGAGCTCCTTTTTAAATTTTTTCAATGATAGATGTAGGAGGTTGAGGGACAGAATGTTCTAATTTGCTTCCATATCTTGCATCTAAAATTTGACCACTGTATAAAATTTGAGGGTTATAAGTCTCAGCAGAAGAGCAGGGAAAAAGGAAAAAGATGTGGTTAAAACACCAAATGTGTAACTAGGCTACAAACGATAGATGATAGATAGATAGATAGATAGATAGATAGATAGATAGAGATAGATAGATATAGATAGATAGATGACAGAAAGTAGAAAGATGATAGAAAGATAGATGATACATAGATAGAAATATAGATGATAGAAAGAAAAATAGTTGATAGATAATTTTAGATATATTCTCCCCCCATCTCTCTCTTTGTCTCTCACTCTGGCACTGTGTGTGTCTTCCTGTACATTCATATGCTTGGATTCTGAAATTAACCCCAAAATAGATATGCTGACTGAAGTCCTAAATGATCCTAGGACTATCATAGATGTGGAAAACGAATGATAATCACATATTTTATAGTTTTCCCAACATGCAAAGGGTTTCACAAGCTAGTGACTTCAACCTATTAGGAAGAAAAAACAAAAACTATAGGAAAGATCTAATTTTTATTCAAGCCTATTTTTTTCTTTCATTGTTTCCCTTTCTTTTGCATTATATAGTTAATAATACGTAACGATTCAATTCTATTAAGCCATACTCAGATTGCTCCAAAGATTTTCCTAGGGATTTTATTCAAAGAAGCAGCAGAAATCTGCAAGAGAGGGATTGCATAAATAGTAGGATCACAGTCCAGGCCAGACATAAATGCAAGACCTTATTTGAAAAATACCTAAAGCAAAAAGGGTTGGCAGAATGGCTCAAGTGGTAGAGCACCTGCCTAGCAAACATAAGGCCCTGAGTTCAAACACCAACACCACCCCTCAAAAAAAAAAAAAAAGACCCAATGTGAGTATTCTACACAGCTTGGGTACTTCCCTATCATAACACATGCATAAACTATGTTCTTCAAGCTGCAAATTTTTTGATGAAAGCAACGATTACGTTCTATCATTTGTTAACCATCAGAATGAATAGAGTTTTCAGATGCATTCCTTGGTTTGTGTTAGCTTATTTGCAAGAAGTATGTGAGTTGACTCAACTAAGAGCAACAGAATTCTATTTAGAATGCAAATAACAAAAATACCCAAATCTACTCAGCCATTTAGAGCTCCTGATGCTTTCTACTCACTTATCACTTTTGGCCTTTATTAAAAACCTCGGGGTAACTAAAGATGATATAATTGTAGCTGGAAGTGAAGGCAATATTCAAATGAAGCATTTAATCGATTACTAGTACAATTTCCCCGTTTCTGTGATGCAGATGTGATAACAACAACAACAACAAAAAAGCAGAATGAATGCCAAGAAATAGCATGTGACTGGAGTGTTGTTCACTGCTTCTTTCAGTAAACCACAGAAAGATAACAAAGGTTACTGCGCCCAGTACAGAGGGGAGGTGTGTGACACTGTCCTGGCAAAAGATGCTCATGTGTTTTTCAACACCTCCTACTCGGACCCTGAGGAGGCCCAAGAGCTACTGGTCCACACTGCCTGGAGTGAGCTGAAAGCCGTGAGCCCATTCTGCCGGCCGGCTGCTGAGGCTTTGCTCTGCAACCACGTCTTCCAACAGTGCAGCCCTGGAGGGGTACCTACGCCCACACCCATTTGCAGGTAAAACTCCAAAAACCAGTGAATGGTAAAAGCCCATTGTCCTGTCTGTAAATAGGAAGAGTTTGTAAAAGAAGGTAAAGACAAAGTCTGGCCTTCATCCAAAAGAGGAGAAAAATAATAGGAAAAAAATCCTACCATATAAATAACTCATGATAATCTTTAGTACAAAGACTGAATTTCTAGAAAATAATCATAAAACAGATAATATTCAATTGCTCTTGCTATTGTTCACATCATATTCAAGATCCCTTATCCTATCAAAATCCTGACTTCCTGCCAAATAAACGGAGACATTCTGTTTAACCTGGACCTCATTAAGTAAGCTAAGATGAAGGAAATAGAGACAACACTTTGAGTGTTTTAGCATTACTTGTCAATCAGTGAAATCACGATGAGCATTTCACAATATTAAAGGAAGTGCATTTCCTCTTACAGTCTAAATACTGATACTTATGCCTAATTTAGATGGGAGTAGTTACAAATAGATGTTTCTCTTTTTCCCCTCACATCCTCACCAGCATTTTTTTTAAATTATATTATTGTTGTGCTGGGGGCACTTGTGACATTTACAAAAACTCTTACACTATATCATAGTTGAATTCACCACCTCCATCATCCTCCTTTATCCCTCACTCCCTCTATTCCTGGAACAGTTTTAACATGTGTCATTTTTCTAGATATTTCTTTAAAACTGCAACATTCATTAGACAATGAAATTTATAAGTTTATGTTTAATAAATTGTCCTTGCCTTTATTTTCTTCTTACATAAAAGATAAGAATCAGCCTGATTTTTGAGTCAAATAAAGTCCAATATGGTTCGTTCTCTTTCTAGATGTATGTGATCTTGGCTAAATTTCAGTTTCCTCATCTGTATATTAGAATTTAGGAGATTCAAGGATAAATTGCAATCCTGGAATATATTAGAAACTGGATAGACGTCATTGTTCCTAAATTTTCTTTCAAAGAAAACATGAAACTACCAACATAGCACATTTCCATATCTTTTTTGATAAAACCAAGAATTAATAAATTGAAATAATGGTAGGGCATATTAGAAAAAAGACCACAATAAGGTCATTAAAATAGAGTGCTCTATTCCTAACCCACTACAAAGTTTGAGGGTTTGTTGACACTGTAACAACAATCATTTTCTTCACCTAAGAAGGCTGTATTGTGATCAGACATGATCTCTAAACCCTCCTAGGGATCCTGGCATTCAAGGAATCCCTCAAGAAGAAAGGGAAAGAGGAAGGAAAACTGAAAAGAGAATGGGAAAAAGAGTGGGTGAGAAGCAAAACTTTGTCTTACTGACAATTAGGTTACACTGTTTCAAATGTACTTCAGTTAATAAAGAAACAGTGCCTCTGTGGAGTGAGGAATAAAAGAATGATAGAGGGGGTGAATTCAGCTATGATATAGTGTAAGAATTTTTGTAAATGTCACAGTGTACCCCCAGCACAACAATAATATAATTTAAAAATGCTGGTGAGGATGTGAGGGGAAAAAGAGAAATATCTATTTATAACTACTCCCATCTAAATGAGGCACGAGTGTCAGTATTTAGACTGTAAGAGGAAATGCACTTCCTTTAATATTGTGAAATGCTCATCGTGATTTCACTGATTGATAAATAATGCTACTTCTTTTAAGTTTAGATTTCTGTTTCTTGGTCTTATTTATAAAATATCAAAGGTATATATTTGAAGTACTTATCAGTAGTGGAATCCTTTACCTAGAATGTATCTCATGTATAATCACATTAAAAGGGGTTACCAGAAAGAATGTCACTGTGGATTCTGTCAGTCTTCTCCTTAGCACCACTGATGTAATTTGTGGTGATCACTAGAATGGTTGTCATACTTACACAGTGACACTGGGGTGAATCAGCTCAACATTACCAACAGATGCTTGAAAGGAGTAACAGTTAGACTAGAAATGTTTCTTTTTTGTAACAGTCATTCTGGTTTTCTAAGTAGGAAAGCCATGTGATTCCATTGTATAAGAAACAGAAGATACAAAAAAATCACAAAGAAGAAAAGAAAAATCTTAAGTGAGCTTGACAATTTTAAGTCTCTTTTTGAATGTTTCTTCTTTAAAGCCTTTCTCCCTGTTCCACTGGATTGCCCATTAATCTCTAATAAAATTCTAAGAGTATGATCACCTTAGTGATAACTTACTTTTCACAATGCAAAATGGACCTTTGATTTTCTTCAGGTTTTTTTTTAAATTATAGACATTTTCATATGTACACAAAAGTAGAGCCCATGGTACAATGAATGCCTGTGTACCTATCACTCAGATTTAATGATTACCAACTCACGGTCAGTCTCATTCTATCCCTCCTTACCCAGCACTCTGCAAGGACATCCCCAACTATTGATTATGAAGTAAATGACACATGTCATATTATTTCATTTATAAATATTTTGGTATAAATCTAAAGGAAGAAGAACTGTTTTATGTTGGTTATTTTTTGAAGCATAATTTGCTAATTTAATTTTTTTGGTAGTCAAACCGGTCTCTTTGCTTTTAATTTCTACCTTATTAATGTTCTAGAACATGTGCTCAAATCTTGTCTTAAAGTTTGGGAAAAGTTGACTGCTAGCTTACTGCATAGAGTTAGCCTATGCAATATCAAAGTTTTGCATCTTTTTTTCTCTTTTTTAATATTGAAAATAACTTACCTGTGTTGCTTTTGAGGAAAAAAAATGCCTTTCATTGAGATTTCAAGTTAATTACAATAACATAATTATCTCCTAAATCTAGGTCATTTGTAGTGTACTTTTGTTCCCCTAATGCCAATTGTTATTAGATAACTATGTATTTTTATTAGAAAATTATTTTCACTTTTTTAATCTTCATATGCAAACATCTTATTCCCATTGGAATGAAAAATATAATTTAAAAAGTTCACATTTTTGTATTTTATGGAGAGCATTTTTGTCTGATGTATAACTAATAATTATAAAAATTGCACATTTAAGGAAGACCAAGTCTCATCTTTAAAGGTACAAAATTTGCATGTTATATAAACATTAAAATCATCAAAAATTAAAATATGCGATCCTTCTGCTCTTGAGTTTCATCTGCTTGATCCAATAATTCAATAGTGATACATTAAACTTTTTCACACCAATTATTCTCCTAAGAATGTTTCCATGAGATTCTGACTTCTGCTTTTTATAGCTAAAAAAAAAAACTGAACTAAAATTGAACTTATTATTAATAACTAGTTAGTTTTACCATCAGATGTTCTCATTTTATGTTTCCTTGCTTGCTTGTTATGTCTTCAGAAAGGTTTCTGTTTGCTTGTATCCTTCAAAGTGATCCAAAGGTCTTCGGCCATTTTCTAGTCTTTTAGTTACTTGTGAAATTTTTAGAAGCAGACTATTGCTCATGGTTTTTGAACTGCAAACCACCATTTGATAATGCGTGCCTCTTTCCATGGAGGACAAGGACTTTCATTTCTTCAACAAATATTTCTTCATCTATTGGGCTCCAACCACTACTCTAGGTATTTGGGATATATTAATAAATGTAGTAAAAACTTACATGTGACCTTAGAAGATGTTACATGTCGTGGAAAAAGAAAAAAAATCAACATTAGGGTAAGGCAGATAAGGAAGGAGGAGAAAGTTGTCATTTTAAAAATGGAACAACCCAGATGTGATGACTCAGGAATGTAATCCCAGCTCCCTGGGAGGTAAAGACTGGGAGGATTGCAGTTTAAGACCAGCCTAGGCAAAAAAGTTAGTGAGACTCCATCTCAACCAAAGCTAGATGTGGTTACATATCTATAATCCCAAACTATGTATGAGGCATAGGTAAGAGAATGGCGGTCTGAGGCAAGCGTGGGCAAAAAGCATAAGACCCTACCTGAAAAATAACCTAAAGCAAAATAGACTGGAGATATGGCTTAAGTGGTAGAGTGCTTGCCTGCCAACTGCAAGGTCCTAAATTCAAGCCCCAGTACTGCCAAAACAGATAAATAAGTAAAAACAATGTTTCAGAGTAGGCCAGAATTAGCATAATCATACTGAATCCTCTAGCTTGTTCTTTGAAACTGTATCTGGAATTATGAGCCAGATAAGTAGTAGTTATTATATTTTATTTGCATGTGCTCAATTTCTGGAACACTTAATTTTTGATTTCTAATTATATATAAGCAAATACTTGGAAGTGATCTCTACATCACTTACCCTTGATACTGACTGTCATTCATTTCATAGAAAAGCTTTCTTTTTCTTAAATCCTCAATTTTGATTTAGCTCCTGTTCATTCATCTTTTGCTCATTCAACTCTCATTCAACAGGAGTAGGTGCTTCTTAGATTAAGTGTAAATTCTTTCTGTAATTATATGTACATATATATATTTCACATATAGATATGTCATGTGTGTGTCATATATGGATATACAACACATTTTTGAGCACTTAAGTTCTCTGCTACATTCAGTTTGCCTCAAATCCTATGCACTCTGACAAATTTTTTTTTTTTCACCATGTTGGCAATGAAGAGGAGCCAGTGGCAATCATCAGTTTTCTTCTTTGTAGGGAATATTTTTTTTCTCTTGCCAGATGGTAGAAAAGAAAATTTATTTAATCCATGAAAAGAGATTCAAAATACTTGTAAAAGTCATTTGGAGATGGATCTCCTATAATGGTTTTCTCTCATATAAGTAATATAAACATAATGACTAATATGTTTTAAACATGATGTCTTTTTCATCTTAAAGTGTTTTCTTATACTATATCTTTGATTTTTTTTATGTGCTTTGGTTTTCTGGTTGGGAACAGTGTTGCTGGTGCTTTGGATATCTTACTCACTCTTTCTTGTCAATTATCTCACATTCCATTTTCATCTGATGGTCTTTCTGCATTTAATTAAATATTCAAACTGAACATTTGTTTCTTTCTTACAATGCCATTTCTTTTCCATTTTCCAGAAACATTTTAAATCTTTCAGTGTTGACTTTACTTCTTTGTGATTTTAATTTCCTCTAGTTACTGCCATTTTCAAAGTAGCTTATTTGTAGTCTATCTTTTCATTTCATCCTGCTTTTTCCTTATTAAAGAAAATTCTTATAGAGATATGCTTTGATTCATGGCAACAAAAATAGAACCCAAAAATCTATTTTATAATGTCTTCCACCATTTAGAATAAAAAACTTAATTTCCCATACATCTGCTTCCTGCACACCACGAGAACGGCAGTGTATTCATGTGTTCCATATTGACTTTTTTTTTTTTCATTTTTCTTTTATTATTCATATGTGCATACAAGGCTTGGTTCATTTCTCCCCCCTGCCCCCACCCCCTCCCTTACCACCCACTCCACCCCCTCCCGCTCCCCCCCCTCAATGCCCAGCAGAAACTATTTTGCCCTTGCAAGGCTCTGTGCTGTTTGAATGTAGGGACATTCTTGGACAAGCCAAGGGTAAGATCCAGTTACAAGAAAAAGCAAGCCAAGTAACACTCCTCAAGACTCATAAGCTTCTCAGAAGCCCTCACAGCCTTGTTATCCCACTTCTCCTGCAGATATCCCCCAAATTTTAAATCCCATTGTTATACTCATGATCCCTGTTGAAACCCATGACAGTCATAGGCACAGCCCTTTCATTCCACACGTATCTGTTAACCTGAACTGGCAAGCTGGACAAGCAGGAGTATAGGAATGAGTATTTGTAGGACAGCATTGTGGCCCATGTACAGGTATGTGTACAACACAGTTACACACACACACACACACACACACACAATTTCTCCTATCTGAATCTTTCAGATGGCAAATGAAAGAACACCAGCTGTATTCTTTAATCATTCTTTCATTTCCTCTTAGTATTAATCCTACGTATCTTAATTTGGAATTAACCAGATTTCTCCTGGGGCAGTTTGTCATCCCCAAATACCATTAGTCCAACTAGTCTCTCTTTGGCTCCTCCACTTATCACACAATTTATAGATAAACACAGCAGCTTCATATTCAAGCAGTCACTAAACCTGTCTTTCTCTGATGGAACCACAGGCAGCCATGGGACAGGAGAGTTTCTCCAGAGGAGGACAGGCTAAGGAACCACCTGCTGTCCTGTACACTCCAGGGAGGAGGTGCTGTTGTGCTTCAGAGGACAAAGCCAGCTGAAGCACAGATTGTGTTCCTCAAGCCCTGCTCATTAGCCCAAGATTATAGAAAAATCTCCCAGGCTAGAATTTGATTGAGTGTTATCCATGATTTTTAGTTTGTATATTTTTAAAACTCTACATACCATATTTCTGTAACTTTATAGTTATTTTAATATGAGAGAAGACATATCAGGGATTCCTAATCTAAGCCCTTTGAGATTTCCTTTCTCAGTATTATTAATTACATTTAAAAAGAAAAACAAGATAATATTTCATCTCACAGCACAATATACTATATCTCATAGAGTCTCACATTATTTACAGTTAAGGAGTCCTTTCAAAAATGCTTTTGCAAGCACAGGCAATGTACTATGATGAGGATTTGAAAATACAGAATTTAAGCTCCACCACAAATTTGGCTTTAACATGCCATGATTCATCAAGTTGTGTTCTTCATTCAATATTTCAGAGAGTACTGCTTGGCAGTAAAGGAGCTCTTCTGTGCAAAAGAATGGCTGGCGGTGGAAGAAAAGACCCACAGAGGACTCTACAGATCTGGAATGCACCTCTTCTCCATGCCAGACTGCCACAAGCTTCCCAGCATGCACTGGGATCCCATGGCGTGTACCAGGCTGCTACATTTAGGTAACAAAAGTTTCCCCAAAAGTCTTTGGAAGTTAAAAGAAAATAACTATTTTAAATAAGCTAAGGTGTGAACTTAAAGCTCCTAATATTTCTAGTCTTCCTAGGCATTCCTAATTTTTTTTCAGTTTTGCCTTCCTTACAAACTTAATAGCCGAATCCTAATGCTATCCTAATTGCATAGGTTAGCATACTTACTTCATTTGTTCTAAAATAAATTAAAGGGCACTTTTAATCACTGCTTGGATCTTATCTATTTCATAGGTGATCTATGAGAGCTTGTAACATTTTCTGGAATGCACAGAAAAATGGTTAAAGAAGACCTCATTCTTTGTCAGAAGAGTAGAATAGAGAAATAGTCATCTTTCTTAGTTTAGCCAGTGAAGTAGACTTTTAAGCATGCAAAAATCAGCCCTATGCTTGAAAATGCTGATCTCACAAAACTAAATCACTGCATGTTGCTTTAATGAACTTCATTTGTAAAGAACTATGTTGCTATCCCTAACAGCTGGTTTAATTTCAAAGTCACAGCTTTCACATTTGAATGCAAAGAATGTTTTCCAGTTGTACAGTAAAAAGCTGAAGGAGGACTTGCATTTTTTAGCATTCTCTCACTAAATACGTGGGGTATTTGGATGCTCACTTAAAACAAATTTTTATCCTTTCCCCCTCAGATCATAAAAAAGAAAACCTAACAAGTAAGTAATTTTGTCTGTGCTCTTGAAACCTTATGTGTATGCAATTGGATTCGTGCATGTCGATTTACACTCACCCTTCATGGTGTTCAGAACTGAATGTCCAGTGTCTCCACCTCAAGAAAGAGCATTGGTGCTCTCAGCTTAGAGCTTCTAAGTAGGCCATAGAGAACACTGTACTTAGTGAGTGACACAAATAGTATTTCCTACTTCAAGGTTGATAACCTAGTTTATACATCAATAAAATAAGCCAAGTTTAAAATGTCATCTTTGATTTTGCATTCATGATTTTGTGTTACTAATTATTTATAGATAAAAACAAATATTTTCTCTTTGAGCTGATTCAAGATCTTTGTGATGTCTTTTTTTTTTGGAAGATAAGTGTTTTCTGTTTTGGAGGGGGTGTTGTTCATTTTTTAAAGTTTATTGTTGGGTTTTTGCATGCGAATTCCATGTTAATTATAGAAAATTTTAAATAGGCACAAGAAAAAAATTGAAAAAGAAAAAAAATCACCTATAATCCTGCTTTTTTCAAAAATTTTTTCATAATGCTAGGATTAACCATGCTACTCTAGCAAGGAGGAAACTTTTCACATCAATAATGGCATTTTCCCAACATTTTATCTATTGAATAGTGGGTTTCTCCATAAGGGGTACTCAAACAGAGTTCTTCCTTCCTTCCTTCCTTTCCATCTAACTAAATAATGACCTTAAGATCAAGTCAGGTGAAGTGACTCATGCCTGTAATATTAACTACCTGGGAGACTGAGATCAGAAGGAAAGTGGTTCCAGACCTGCCTGAGAAAAAATAGTTGCAAGATCCCATCTCAGTATAAAAATGCTAGGCATGGTGGCCTTCTCCTTTCATCCCAGCTAGAATGGGAAGCATAAAATAGGATCATGATCCAGTCCAGGCCTGGGGAAAAAGTGAGACCCCATGTCCAAAAGAACCAGAGCAAAAGGGATGGAAGTGTGGCTCAAGTGGTAGAGCACCTGTCTAGCAAGCACAAGGACCTGAGTTCAAACCCCAGCACTGCCAAAAAAAAAAAAAGAAAGAAAAAAACTGGCATTGGCTTTTCTAGTAAGAGCCATTAAGTGCAGTCTATAGAGTTCGCAAAGCACTCAGATATTTCTTGGTTTCTGAGTAATCTAAAGGTTATTACCAATGCACTTTGAGGGGTGATGGAAGAATTTTTAAATCATTTGTTTATCTATGCATTATTTTCTCCTTGCTTGAACACAGGGACTAGAGTGTAAGTACTTTCTATTTTTTAATAACCTCTTTTGCAGAAGTGAAATATCTTTTGAGGGCAGGTAACACCTCTGCCCTGTGTACATTAGTTGTCTGCTAGGCACTTAACTCTATAGTATTGCCTACTCACTATTTATATCTAACTTAAATTTACTTTAGAAAGCCTACCCACTGTTCATAAATCTGATTCGGTGCTGCCCCTGTGTGTTCACGAGTACGCTGTTTTTGCTACTCTTATCACACTTCTTGTATTTTATTGTAATTATCTAGTTATTAATTTGTTTCCCATGACAAGCAAAGACTTGTCATGACCACCACAGTATTCCTGATACTTAACAGACAATATAGATTTAATGAATGCATTAATATGCGGATAAATGAGTGAATATACTCCTCAGGTGTCCAGAGTTTGGAAAAGATAAAGAGATAAAATTGATCAGGGAAGAAAGAAAAAAAGATAAAAAGGAGAGTGACTAGAAATTCAAATTGATAATTTGGATCTAAAGAGATAACTGATATAACTCTAGGGAAGATCAAAAGAGACAGATCAGAAGCAACAGTTAAGGAATAGCACAACATAACTGTCCTGGAAGGACAAAATGTTTCTATTTATTCATTGTAGCAGTCTACAATAAATAGTATTTTCTGCATTCAATTAGCAGGTTTACACAAGAGACAATGATGGCATATGAGTTCAGGGGATAGGACCAATTAGGCTTTCTGAAATAGGGTAAATAAAAATGTTAAAACCTTCATAATTAAAAAAAATATATGTTTAGTTCATGATGAGCTATTTCTGGGTGCTGTAACAACTTCTGTTAAAAATAAACAAAAACAAAAGGTACCTGTGCAACAAAAATTCGAGATTATATAGAAGTTAACATGCCCACAAATATGGACTACCTTATTTCATTCTGCAGTGAGATTCTGGCAAGTCACTGTTGGTTCCATGGACTCTAGAAATTTAAATAGATCAAACTATTTAATATTTCTGAACTTTTTTAACATTTCTGGACATAAGAAAAGATCTGAGCCATTAAAAATTCTCATTGTACCAATTATGAAGTATCGAGAAAAGACCTGTCATGAACTTACAAAAATCTGCTTGTGAAGTGCTGTAAAATCCACCAGTGAAAATTACATAGACAGAAAGGAACCTGAATGCTTAAAAGGTGTTTCAAATGTATGGCATCAGACCAGACAACAGCTTCTGTAAACTTCAGTTGTTCATGCTTACTGGAGAAGTAAGACATAACTCACAGAGCTGTTCTTCAAATTACACGAGGTAAAAATTGTGGTTATCCAATCATATAAAACACACAGGTATTAGATTAAGATGGATCTACATGTGATATTACAAAACGAAGAACAAGACCAAGATTCAGACATCTAAGACCAGAGTACTACATGTGTGTATCTGTAAAATCAGGATTCATCATATCCATGCATAAAAACTAGTTTTGGTTGGATGTAGAAAATATGGAAATCTGCATTTCTGTGGGATTATAGGATAAGATTTACTTTTCTTTTTTTCTCTATATTGTTGTGCTGAGTGGATGTCACTGTGACATTTACAAAGGTTCTTACAATGTATTAATTATATTATACTTGAATTCACCTCCTCCACTGCTCTCCTTTATCTCCTCCCATTCCTGGAATAGTTTCAACAAGTATCATTTTTGCATTTACATGCCTGTATACATACTTTTTGCACCATATTCCTCCTCCTACCCACTTTCCCTGCCACCTTCCCCCTCCCACCAGTGCCTACAGCCCCACCCTAGTAGACTCTGTTCTGCCCTCCTGTTCTCTGAGTTTGTAGAAGACAAAAGATAAAAAGAAAAACATGATATTTTTGCTAGTTTGAGATAAAGATAGCTACACAGGGGGTTTCTTTGTGATGTTTCCATGTATATATGTATTACAGTTCCATTTGGTTCATCTCCTCTAATTCTCTTCACTCCTCCCTAATCCCCTTCCCATGGTGGCCCCAGCCAGTTTAAGATTTCTACACTAATTCCTGTACAGAGAGCACAGCTAAATCCATATAGAAAGATGATTGTTCAAACTATGCAACTTCTGGTGTTTAAAAAATAAATCTTGGGGCTGGAGGTGTGGTTGAAGTAGTAGAGTAGTTGCCTAAAAAGTAAATCTTACTGGGACATCACAGATTTTCTTTCAACATGCTAAGAAAATCTACATTAGTGCCGAGCTCCAGTGGCTCACACCTGTAATCCTAGCTAGTTGGGAGGCTGAGATCAGGATTGAAGTTCGAAGCCAGCCAGGCAAATAGTGCTCAAGATACCATCTCCAAAATAACCAGAGCAAGAATAGACTAGAGGTATGGCTGAAGCAGTAAAGCACCTACTTTGCAAGTACAAAGCCCTGAGTTCAAACCCCAGTCCCACTAAAAAAAACAATAGTAACTTCACAAATTACAATACTTCTGCCACATGCTACGTATGATATGAAGTGCTCTGTAAAACCTACATACAAAACACAGCCATTTCTCCCTGTCTTGCAGTAATTGCTCCCACTTTATTCTTAGCAGGACGCGTAATTCATCCCTTTACTCCACCCGTCTTGGATTGAGAAATTTAGGAGTAACTCTGTCCAGAAAATCAGACCAGCTTTCCAGCTAGTCAAGGAGGAAACTGGGAGGTCTAAGTCCCCCATCACTGAGTGCTTCTGAGGCATGCTGCCATTGGTCTTGCACAGCTGTCTTTCTACTGTACTTCTCTTCTACTCCCATGCCTGCTTGACTCAAGCAGTGACCAAGCTTGGCTTCCACAGGCTTCTAAACCACTTGCTTAGCCATTTGGTGGTCAGGGCTTCATCCCCGTGTCCACTACTGGACTAAGAAGTCATATGCAAACACTCTTGTGATTTCTGCTTTCACAAGTGTCAGTTTCAAATGGCTACAGTCATCTGCCACAAAGGCTGTGAGCAAGGCTTTCACTTGCTCGTCAAGCTTTGTCACTGGGTCCACTCCAAACTAACAAGCCACACACGGTCGCCTCTCATAATCACTTTTACAAGTCAAGTGTCCGTTTTCAAATGACTTTAGGTTTCTGCAACAATGACAGTTTTCTTTTGACTTTGAAAGGTGTTATATTAATATATTGCCATATATTAAATCATTATTCTCTTACTATATTACAGTCAATTGCTAGTATTCACTTAGGACCTTCTAACTCTATGTTGTTTTATCTACATACCTGTATTTCTTTTATACTAACATTGGTAAGATGTGATATTAGGATTATGACTTCCCAAAAGAATTTGAAAGATTTTTCTTTTACTGGAACACATTCTAAAATATGGAACATATTATAAAATGTGGAAATTTTGCCTCTTCCAAGAATGAAAGAATATATCATAAATCTATTGTGATTTTTAAAATTAATTTCTTGCTTATGGCTATATTTGCATTTCTTATTCTTCAGATTTGGCAATTAATATGTTCCCATCAATCACTTTCCTTAAGATTGAAAATGTAATGATATGTTATTTTGTTTTTATTGACCTTTGAATCTGTTATGATAACTCCTGATTTCTATGTTTTTCCTTTCTTCATCTCTTTTAGAATTACAATTCCATGAGTTAGAGCATTTTATAAATAATTTAAAAGGCTAACTTGATTGATTTTTTTCAGTTCTATCATTTGTGGTATGCATAATCTAACTTACTAACTTCTGCTCGCCTATGGCTGTAACTTTATCACCTACTTTCTTTTGTTTTCTGGAGTTATTATTTCTTGTCCAAAGTTTTCAGTTAAGTATTCTGTTCATTCTCTTTCCTTTCTTTATATTTAACAGAAGGCCAAAAAAAAAAAAATACTGAATTTTCCAGTAAGCATAGCTTTGGCTAAATTTCATACATACTATTAAAAAGTTTGTTCTCTCCCTCTCTCTCTCTCTCTCTCTTTCTCTCTCTCTCGCTCTCTTTCCCCCCAACCATGGGTACTCTTAACTTTTTAATAAAATAATTATAGATTTTTTCTTTTTTAATAGTCCTGTTGGATTTTATTTAATCTATTATTAAATGCATTTTGGTCAGAGAACAGATCCACACAATTTCCACTTTTGAAATTTATTGAGATTTGTCTTTGTGGCCTGACATAGATCATGTCTGTCAGCATCCCACAAATTTAGAAAAGACTTCTTCTCTCTTTTTAAGGTACAAAGTTCATTTTTTGGCTGTTAAAACATCCTTACTGGTTATGTTAGCAAAATATTCTGCATCCATGGTTTTGACTTTATTCAATCTATTAAGAAGATTCTGAATAAAATTAATCAGATTTTTTTTAAAACATTCACAATGGACTTAGCATGCTGCAAACAGTGGTAAAGTATGGCATCTTTTGGTTTCCAGAACTAATGCAGATCTTCGTTGTTTTTGAATCACATTGGCCATTTACATTGGAGTTTGACAAGAGTTCAAGTTCTAGATGTTTTATTAACTTCCACTTATTTATATCATAGTATTTTCATTTTTCTTCTTCCATTATTTTTGTTCTGTTTGTAAACCTAAGATTAGTGTGTATAAAAAGCTCAGTTCCACCAATCCTGACCTGGGATCTAATTACATGAAAATATTTTGTCTATCAATCATGGACAATATGAAACAGTATAAAGAGCCCGAGCCCAAGATCTGCATTTCTCTTGGGAAAAAAAATATATATTTCCTCTTTCAGAGCCTTATCTTTAAAATCTAGTGATTCTTAAGCTAGATTTTCTTACAACTGAATAGCAGCATATTCTTACAATTGGACTTTATAGATCTATAACCAGGGAGAACCCAAAACATAAACACATTCATAACATTAAGTTTAATTTACTAACTGCTTGAAAACAAATTACTTCTTAAAAGTTTGCAAATGAATGAAAAGAATTGCTGTTTACTTCCAGCATTCCCACCAATGACATCCTCAAAGCCAAGTGTGGACATTCCAAATTTGCCTTCTTCCTCCTCCTCTTCCTTCTCTGTGTCACCTACGTACTCCATGACAGTCATAATCTCCATCATGTCCAGCTTTGCAGTATTTGTGCTTCTTACCATAACTACTCTTTATTGCTGCCGAAGAAGAAAAGAATGGAAAAACAAGAAAAGGTGAGATTCTAGTTGGAGCTAATCCCACAAAGTAATGCTTTCAAATTCACATATTTAATAGCAGAACTGGGGTGGGAACAGGGGTCTAGATCCCACCACCATCCTCTTAGTGCATCTGTAGCCTTGCTTTAAAGCTAAGCACCCCTATATAATCTTTAAAAGTGTCAGTGATTTTTTTGCATGTGATCACATGTCCTAAAGTTAATTTTTCACAACAGATAGACATGAATAATAATTTGGAAGAAAATGGATATTCCTGTTTCCCATATCCCCTCTTATTCTCATGGCCCCTGCCAATTTGGATAGTGGATCCCTGAGAAAACATGTGTTTTGACTTGAGACCAAACAAAATACTTATTGTTCACAAGTAGAAGAGTCTTTGGCTGCTAGTGCAATATGTTTTACTTACTTCTAAATGCCATGTCTTTCAGGATCTAGGTCTGAGTACAAAGATCTTACCTGCACCTGAGCTTATTGTTGATCTTGCCTGTCTTACCTGCAGAGAATCGGCAGCAGTCACCCTTACTACACTGCCCTCTGAGCTCCTGCTAGACAGGCTCCACCCGAACCCCATGTACCAGAGGATGCCACTCCTACTGAATCCCAAGTTGCTCAGCCTGGAGTATCCAAGGAACAACATTGAATATGTGAGAGATATTGGAGAGGGAGCATTTGGAAGGGTCTTTCAAGCAAGGTAAAACAATAATTTCTCTACTGAAACATGTATGTCTGGAAAGTTACCAGACCATTAACCTGATGCATATGTATGGTGTATAATACTTATTACCAAATCAGTTAGTTCTTTACTTATTTATATCACATGCTATAACTTTAAATCTTAGTGATTTTTCCTTTATGCTGAAAATAGGAATGTACATGGAAAGAACACATTTTATTGCATTTAAAAGAAGTAATTTAGCTGGGCATGGTGGCTCACACCTGTAATCCCAGCTAACCAGGAAGTGGACTTTGAGAAGATCATGGTACCAAGCCAACCTTGGCAACAAGTTAGTGATATCCCATCTCAATTAATAAGCCAGGTGTGGTGGTATGTGCCTGTGGTCCCAGTTATGTTGGAGGCCATAGACAGGAGGATCAAGGACCAGGCAAACACCAGACTGGGAAAAAATACAAGAGCCTACATCTAAAACAACCAAAAACAAAATGGCTGGAGGCATGGCTGAAGTGACAGAGCACTTGTCTAGCAAGCAGAAGGCTCTGAGTTAAAATCCCAGTACCACCAAACAAAAATAATTTCTGAAATCTAAATGTATATCGTGTTTGGGTTGCAAGAAGTTACTAAAGGCTCGGTTCCATTTCCCTTATAGGAAAAAGAACTTGTCCTACATTTAACCATCATTTCTTACATTGATTTTTGGTAAACAATTCTTAGATTTACTTGCCTTTCACTTACTGTTGGTATAGTCTCAAGTTCATTTAAAGTTTACTCTTAAAAATGTAGTTTGACAGATGAAAACAATAAGTAGATGTTCATGGAATAACAAAACAGAAAAGGAAAAAATGTAAAAATTCAGAAAACAGCTCAAGGAAGGAATATCTACAAGGGACAACACTATCTCATTTGTTGCCATAAGTGAAGTGGAATAAAATACCCTCTGCATGGATTCACTCCACAGACACACACTGGGCCAGAAAATGTAGACTTGGTTTTTATCACCAACTGTCACTGGTGATCTTGGGCAAGACACACCTTTACCTCCACCCATAGTGGTCCTGGTATTGAGGTTACATGAATAATGAAAATCTCACACAAATACTATTGGGAACCAAAATTTGCACAGTACCACATTAGTCTCTATGGAGGACATAAGGACAAATAAGTCATCGTCCCTACTTTTAAGGAATTTAGATTCTAAACAAAGATTAAGGGATCAGAATGACAATGATATTAAGAGGCAGAGATAGGAGGATAGCTTTGGTGGCAGGCAAAAGCATGAGACCCTACCCAAAAAAAATAACTAAAGCGAAAAGGTCTGGGAATGTGGCTCAAGTGGTAGAGCACTTGTCTAGTAAATGTGATGTCTTGAATTCAAAACCCAGTTCCAAAAAAAAATCTCACTAGGTCTGTGAACTTTAGAATTCCTCTAATTGATAAACAATGCATTTTCAAATTTAGTGTAAGTCGAGAATGACCCTAATGAATTTTATTAGCTGGAGTCAAGGAATCTTACATATTACCTACTCTTGTCATCTTCCTTTGATTTTTGAGGCTGTGGGAGCAGCTACAGAAGGGGAGGATGTACAAATGTGGGTAGATATAGCAGTGGGGGGAGGTGGTGGCATATCCTGATCTTTAGTTCTTTCTCTATTTGTCTCAGGGCTCCAGGCTTACTTCCTTATGAACCTTTCACTATGGTGGCAGTAAAGATGCTCAAAGAAGAAGCTTCAGCTGACATGCAAGCAGACTTTCAGAGGGAGGCAGCCCTTATGGCAGAATTTGACAACCCCAACATCGTGAAACTTTTAGGTATGAAAATGCAAATGAGGAAAGAGATTTCATCAGATGACACATGCTTTCTGAGCCTTTGTTTTTCATCTGTTTATGCTTTTTCTTTACTCTGTGATCAGTGAGATGTTTCAGCTCATTTCCAAGGTCAGTCTCTTCACCTACGTCCTAACACTCATCCCTTCCCAACTGCATAAGACATTCAGTGCTTAATGGGTTCATCCTTTCACTCTGCTTTAATTTTTCTGTCTTTGCTGTTTCCTTCTTGTGTATACAAATGTTTAAAATATCCCCATATGAAGACTTCCATTCACACTGCTTCCATCACAAGATTTATTAATGTCTAATAGTCTGTATATTTTACTTGTTTTTTTTCTTTCTTCCCTAGCTAGCATGTCATGAGGACAGTGATTGAAAGTGCTACTGCCCCCCATTTAGTTGCTATTTATTCACAGACTGATAAATTCAACAAATATTAAATAAATACTAGTTCGTATAATAATATAGTAATGAAAAAACGTTGCAAATCTCATCTTTCAAGGAGTTGACATTCTTTTGGGGAGACAGATAATAAAAACAAACATATTAAAACATTATGCTGGATAGTAGCACCTAAAGCCTTTTTTTGTCAGTACTGGGTTTGAACTCAGGACCTTGTCTCTATCACTTAAGCCATGCCTCTAGCCCAAATAAAAAAAGAAAAAAAAGCAGAGGAGAACTATTGGAGTGTGAGTTAACATTTTGGAAGTCTTCAGTGACAATGTGACATTTATATAAAGACCTGGAAGAGGTAAAGAAATAGCAAAGTGGATACCTTGAGAAAGATCATTCCAAGAAGAATGAAAAGGACTTGCAAAGGTTCTATGGCAAGAGCATGTCCATGTTTGATGAGTAGCAAGTCAATGGGGATTGCTAGAGCAGAATGAAAGCAAGAGGGATCTCAAAGACAAGCTCGGAGAGGTAGTGTAACAGGGGAGGTAAGAAGATCCTATTAGGCCCTATTGAAAACTGGCTTTTATATTGAATGAAGTAAAGCAAATGGCAAATCTGAGCCAATGAGTGACAAGATGATATGACTCACATCATTCTAGAACCTCTGGCTGCTTTCTTGAGCATAGTCTGAAAGGAGGCAATGCAGGACACAATAACCAGGTATTTAAATAATACAGAAAGAGAAAAGGGTGGTACCTACCAGGAGCAGTGAGAATAATGAGAAGTGATTGTGTGCTATGTGGAATTTGAAGGTGGAGCCAAATAATCTGTTGTGAGATATGCAACAAAAAAGGTGTCATGGAAAGAACCAAGGTTTTCACCTGCACAGCTGAAATAATGAAGGTGAAATTGACTGGATCAGCAAAAACTCACAGAGAGCAGGTTTCTTTAGTAGAAAGAGTGGGAGTTCATTTTAACACGTGTTTTTTTCAAGATGTGCATTTGACATGCAGACAAAGTTAAGGAGACAGGTGGATATGGAGATCTAGCATTCAGGAAACACAGCTTGGTTTAGAAATAAATCTGAGGTCACTAGAGAATGCAGAGTATTTAAAGCCATGAGGCTAAGCAAGACACCCAAGTAGGGAAAAGAAAGCCAGAAAAGAGAAAATGTCCAAAGACTAAACCTTAGAGCATTCCAGTGTTTACAGTGGGAAAAAAGTTACAAACAGCAAAACAGTCTGGAAAGGAACAGCCAATGAAGAAGTAAATCAATAAAATGTGGTTTCCTGGGCTCCAAAGGAAGTATTTCAAATAGGTGAAAGTGATTGTGTGACATGCAGCAAGTCAAGTGAGAAGAAAACTGAATGACTTTGATTTGGCGACATGGAGGTTCTTTCACCCTTAGTCTTGTTTGAGGGCTTCACTGTCCCCTTTCCCACCATCTCCCACTCCCGCAAGAGTCAATATGCCCACAGATCCTGCCCTCATCCTTCTCTCACTTTATATTCTTCCTTCTTACAACTCTTCTTGTGCAATATTTTAATAACTCAAAAATCAAAATCTCTATCCTAACTTCTTACCTTTTAAGTATAAATTATCTGTTGCTTTTTTTATATGTTTATGGTCACTTCAAATTCAACTTTCACAAAGCTATACCTGACAATACATTCTATTTTAGTTTAGTTTATTTTTTTTTGCAGCACTGGGGCTTGAACTCAGGGTCTACACCTCAAGCCACTCCCCCAGCCCTTTTTTGTGAAGGGTTTTTTCAAGATAGGTTCTCAAGAACTATTTGTCCAGACTGGTTTCGAACCATGATCCTCCTGTTCTCTGCCTCCTGAGTAGCTAGGATTGAAGGCGTGAGCCACCGGCACCTAGCTGACAATGCATTTTATACTAGATGTCTTATTTCTGAGTCTCTGGCTCAAATATTTAGCAAAGCATGAGCTAGAGCAATGAGAAAGAATTGATGATACATGAGGAAAGCTAGATCCCTCCAACTGCATTGGTCTTGACACCTTGTTTAACACCTATCAGGCTCAAAAAATAAAACATCAGAATCCAAAAGAGGTATGAAGGAGCAATAGTACTCTTGCCTTTTGAATTTTGTAGAACTTGAAAACCTTTTGCAATGATCTGCAATGAGTACCAAGTTGAGATGTTTTATTGTTGAGAAATAATTTTTTTTGTGGTCCTGAGGTTGAACTCAGGGCCTCAGGCTTGCAAGACACGTGCTCTACCACTTGAACCACTCTGCCAACCAAAATAGTTTTCATTGTTCCTTAAAATGTTGACTCTGCATTCATATAAGTGTTTGCAATTTTACAGCATCCTGAATTCCTGAGATTGATTCAAACACAAACTATGTACAATTTGTAAATTTGTGATTCATGTGGTAGTAGCACATTTATACATCACTTCTAAGAGCTTCTCTTATTTTTATTGCCCAACAGGAACTCAGATTTATATTACCATTTGCTAAATGCTATATCTGATTTCCATTTCATCATCCTATAAACACAGAGTCTATTTTTTAATTCAAGTACATGCAAACAGTAGCCATTTTTGCATGTAGCTCCACACTCTCATAGAATCTTGGAAGTTAATACTGTTGAAATGAGATTACAACAGTTGGAGAATTGGGAAAATCTATATAATTAATTTTCAATAAAATAAATATGCTTTGTTTTAATTTAGAATTTGGGGCACTTATTGAACATGTTTGTATTTTAAAATTAATTTCCTTTTATTGATATCCTAGTTTATAGGATATCTAGTTTATAGGACTATTGTCTTAGAGTCATAAATTGGAAGACATGGGTAAAAGTATAGAGATATGAAGAATTTTTTCAATAGGATGAAACATTAAAGGTCATACCCAATATTCTGGTCATTAAGGAAGCAGTACAAAAATGAGATGAAATGATTTGATGAAAATGCCATACCAAAGTTTAAAAACATATTTTGGGATAGGCATAAAATTTCTTACACCTATCCATCTTTAAATCCATCCATCTACTCATCTGTCTTTAAATTCACCCTTTCCTCCTTGCATCTATACATCTATCAATTCATCCATCCATTAACAGATATGAAAACACATAGTGAGTCATGTGTAATATTAGGCCTGAAATTGCAAGAGTGAAGACAGTCAAGAATTTCATTCCATTTTGAAGTCCCAGTGAAGAATTGGGTTAGAGTTATTACAATATAGACAACATTTGAACTTATATATTATATATTCACATATATAATTATAAACTATACATATATACATGAATACATAATTGTCCATAAATATCATAAAGTAGAAATCTTCCATACATTTTTGTGTCAAGGATTGGACCATTTCATTAACTAACTCTAGTTCAAAACTTTTTGCTTCTCAAAGAAATATGTTGTCATATTTCTTCCAAAGTAAGAATGCTTTTGGAACCAACTCAACTAGCATAACAATGGTAATGCCAGTTGACCAAATCCATGTTGACCAAAGCTAATCCAAAGAGGATTGTATAGAAGGGATTTCTAAGTGTAACCCAGGTGACATTTTATTTTTTACCTAATACATACCAATATGCTGATTGTTAAGGTTCCTGGAATTAAAAAAAAAAACTAACTGAAAAATAAATAATCCTATATCACAGTATTTCTAATCTTTTTTTTCAGAGACTTCTACTTTTTGCCTAAAAAAATAATAAATCTAATCATCTATTTTTATGATAATGTGAAATTATGCCCATCTGATCTAATACCAGAACTTCACCAGTTTCCTTCTGAAATATAGCAAGATTTTTTCAAATGCCCTCCTGCCATTAAATGTAAGATTATTTATGTTAACATTTTTTTGTTTGAAAAATGAAGATCAGTGGTAAACCTAAATTGGGAAATGCTTTACTGCCTCCCCCTAAATCTAAGACTCTTGGATTGTTTTTGTTCTTCTTTCCAAACTCAATACATCTTCCTTGTTATCATTCTTCAGGAAGTAAACAGAAACACAGAACAGTTATGTGACATACTCAGAGCAAATATCCATTCATGAATTCACTTGCCAAATATGACCTCCTACCTAATCTGTCAGACATGTGGTAGGTGTGGGAAGACATAACTCTCTTTTCAAAGTACTAAGGTATTGAGGGAAAATTGCATACGAATGAATGTCTATGAAATATGATGATAGGCACTGTGTGAAAGGACAATAGGAGGGAATGAAAGAAAGGTAGGGAAGTGGATCTCAGAAGGCAATAGGCAATGTTCAAACAAAGAAATAGGGTTGGGTTGGATTATGATGCTCTCAACCCAACATAGGGCTCCATGTTTTTCTGATCTGCTCATTCACCTTAGGACTGCTCTTTCCACTGTGGGATTTGGAGACCTGTCTAAGAGGGTGCTCTTTTGGTTCCAGGTGTGTGTGCTGTTGGGAAGCCCATGTGCCTGCTTTTTGAATACATGGCCTACGGTGACCTCAATGAGTTCCTGCGCAGCATGGCTCCTCACACCGTGTGCAGCCTCAGTCACAACGACTTGTCCATGAGGGCTCGAGTATCCAGTCCGGGACCCCCGCCCCTCTCCTGTGCAGAGCAGCTTTGCATTGCCAGGCAGGTGGCAGCTGGCATGGCCTACCTCTCTGAACGTAAGTTTGTCCACCGGGATTTAGCCACCAGGAACTGCCTGGTTGGTGAGAACATGGTGGTGAAAATTGCAGACTTTGGCCTCTCCAGGAACATCTACTCAGCGGACTACTACAAAGCCAATGAAAATGATGCCATCCCTATCCGATGGATGCCCCCAGAGTCCATATTCTACAACCGCTACACCACGGAGTCTGATGTGTGGGCCTACGGTGTGGTCCTCTGGGAGATCTTCTCCTATGGCCTGCAGCCCTACTATGGGATGGCGCACGAGGAGGTCATTTACTACGTGCGAGATGGTAACCTGCTCTCCTGCCCGGAGAACTGTCCTCTGGAGCTGTACAATCTGATGCGTCTGTGCTGGAGCAAGCTGCCCGCAGATAGGCCCAGTTTCCCCAGCATCCACCGGATTCTGGAACGCATGTGTGAGAGGGCAGAGGGAACTGTGGGCGTCTAAAGTGGAAGATGTTCAGATACAACACTGAAGTTTCCTCTCAGAATTCCTTCAGCCAGAGGAATCCTCCACCAGAGGCCCAACAAGACCCAGATAGGAAAGGATGGCAGTTGACATCAGGAGGCTGTGTTTATTTCCCAGGAGAAAGTGCAGTTGCCCATGTGGTAGGCAGACACATTCAAATGACTGATTGGAAACATAAGGCTAGGAAATGGGTCAGGTAACTCTTCTTCCTCCCAGGAAGGTTTTCAACACACATTGTACAGGAAGGAATGTCACCCCATTCAATTCCTGGATTAGCTCGCAGCACAGTAAGGCTCTGTTGTATTAAATTTTAATACAAAGTGGGATTCAGAGCTTCATTTTTAGCAGAGTTAATCCCTGTGCACTATAAAAGTAAAGTGTCTCAAATGTGAGACATTTAGATGAAGTATATACAACTAAAATCAAGAAACCATTCTTTTACTACTCAAAGACAGGCATTAGTTTTTGTTGAAAATCTTCCCTGGATCTAATGAGTAATTTTATATTTGCTTGTATTCTAGGATTGTGGTTATACTTTATTGGGTTTTTAAGGAATAAAATGACAAATCAAGGCTACATTCTTAATGTGATTCTTAGTTCCCTTTTCTGTCTTTGTGCTTCTCCATTAGAATTTTTTCCTTTGTGTCACTTGTCATGAATTAAATATGCTGTTTGATTCCTGTAGATTTACTGAAAAAAAAAAACTTGCATCTTACCAATCTATCTTTTTCTTTGAAAACTTTATTGGCACCTTTATCTTTACATTCATCTTCATGTTGTCCTCTTTCCAGGCCTTTCTGTCCTTTTTTTTGTTATTTAGCCATTTTCATTTTATTTCATATAGACAATAAACACCCTGACAGAATAATAAGGTTTGAAATAACATTGGAGATAGATACTTTTTGCCAAACATTATCTTTTGTTTTTGTAAGTGCCTTTGAAGTCACACAGTTCAAGCTGTCAAACATTAATTTTGTTGCCATGGTTTCTTAAATTTCTTTACCCATGGCATATGAGATTTTACCTGACGCTCTTTTGGCTTCAAGTTATTTCAGAACTGATGCTTTGGGGCATTCTGACATGTTTTCTTTTAGAAACCAATTCTATTTGTCATAGAGTTAATATAGTGTCAGTACATTCTGCACAGTGTATTAATCTATCTTGTTACATAATATGATATTTTTAAACCTCTCAAACTCAGATTCCTGATGCTTAAAATTTCTCGGTGGAGCCCCCCACTTATATTAATCCAACACAAATGATAAGAGTTTATTCCTGGTATAGCATGGACCCTAATTCTCCTGAGAAACAAAGAAACAGGGAAGGGAAAAGAGCAGTCTACTCTATACCAGCTTGCTTTCATTCAAACTAATCGGTCAATGAAGAAGTGGCTGAATTATTTAAAGTGGACTTTCAACTGTTTGCTGGAAAATCCCCAAATTCGCCTAATGCAACAACTTGACCTCTTTGCTGGAAATCCTACTATCTTCATAGTCTCTCTAGGCAGCCAAGACAAATATATGGAAATCACCCTAGACTTTGCCCTCTTCTTCTATTAGTTTGACTTTCTAAACTTCTCCTAGCACTTTCTTCCCTTCAATCCAACAGCCCATCACTCAATCTCTACCACTGCCCACTTGACAATTAACTGGCTTCCCATCATTTCTGGCCTGAGCAGATTCCATGGCTTCTGATCATGGAAAGGAGATACTTATTCACAGTTCTGACTCATAAATAGCAGTGTTAGAATTTAGGGGTGAGACCAAGTCTTTAAAGTCATGATTATAAGTCCAAAATTAATGTTGCCATACAAAGGGCTGATCGGCGAATAAAGTTAAAGCATGAGTGCAGAGCAATCAAGAAGCCAACAAAGTCACAAGTTGGAGAGGATCAGCAACACATGTAGCACTTCAGTAAGATACCTATGTTGTATCACCTATGTGTGTCACACATGCTTTGCAAAATTCAAAGATGTCTTAGGGTTTCCTCAGATGACAGTTTTATTGTAAAAATATAGAAGTCTGGCCAATACACAAGCTCATGTCCAGAAAAGTAGACTGGAAGGTTGCTCAAAGCAGAAACAACATGACCTGTGCTCCAGGGACCACGCCGCCCCTCAGAGTCAGGTTTCCACAGCCCCAGTTCTATCATCTGCCACTGCAAGCAGTTGTCTGTTTCTTTTCCCCACTCTGGAATCACTGCTCTTACTTTCCCACCTCTTCCTCATGATTTCTACAGCCTCCTGGTTCCCTGTCTGTGGGGGTTTTAGGCCCTGGTATTCAAGATTCCAAAGCAAAAAATAATCATAGAAATATAGGGAAGTACACTGGGTGAGCAATCAAGTAAACCATATGAAAGCCATTCAATTCTAAATATTTAAAGCAACTGAAAATTAAATAACAAGTAGAGCTCCTATCTATCCCAATATAATAAGAGTAATAATAAAAATTATTACGTCAGATAGTGTTTATTGAAAGTTTACCATGTGTATTCTAAGGCCTTTAAATATATTGATGTAAATGTCACAACATCCTTTGGTGTTGGAACTATCTTTACAACAATATTTTAAGTGTGGAGACTGGCACAGAGAGATTTTGTAACTGGCACAGACCAGTAGATCCCAGTTTATGACCAAATAAGACAACTCTTCAACCACCATATTGTAGTGCTTCCTTACATAATGGAGTAACAGCTGTAAAGGGAAGTGAGTTGTAATTTGCATGGAGTTTCAAAGCCCACACAACACACTATACCCTTCATGTGTTTAATTTCCTATCAAAGTTTTTTTTAACGAACAGCAAAAAGTTTTAGCACTGCCAATTCAATTGAAACATTAAATAGGTGGCATGTTTATTTTTCATGAGTTTAATTGCATTTTCAGGTTACAGATTGCTAACTTGCTTCCTTATTGTGCCCACTAATGTTCTATATTGCCTTCTTTTGAAAATATTCTTCCCATGGTAACATCATCATATAAATTCAAAAAAGGAGGTGAGAGAAAGACAAGGTGCCATTGTTACCAGGTGCCAGGACAACATCAGAAAGGCACCAGAAAGTTCTTTTTAAGTAGTCAGATATCAAATAAAGCAAGAGTACCAGGTCATTTTGCACATGACACCAACAACACATTCTCTGCTATTGTCATGGAGCAGAAAAAAGTAATTTCTTTTCACTTTGCAGTCTACTATGAACCCGTTACATGTCATTAAATATTATTCTTCTGTACATTCAATTTTATTTCTAAGTAATATTCTATCGTATGAATATACTGTAACTAAATCAAGCTCATATTTTTGAACATTTGGATTTTTTCCTAATTTTTACATAATATTATTATAATGATCATCCACATTTGGACATGACCACAGCTTGATCTCCTCTCTCTCTCTCTCTCTCTCTCTCTCTCTCTCTCTCTCCTCTATCTTTTGGTAATACTGGGCTTTGAACTCAGGGACTCACACTTGCTAGGGAGGCATTCTACCAATTAACCCACACTCCCCAGCCCAGTAAATATCTCTCTCTCTGGGAATTCTGAGAAAGGAAATGTCTGGTCCACATGCCTGAGTACTGTCATAGTCTCTAGAAATACTGTTTCCATCTCTGTATTGTGTAAGAGATGTAATATCCCTAAACGTTAGCTATCATACACAGCTAATACTTTTTAAACAAACCTTTTGTCTATTTGGTTATAGAAAGAGACAATCTAATTTTAATTATTTTCAAATTACTAGTGAGGTTGCATTTTTCTTGTTCTTAGATCATTTATAGTTTTTATTTTGATAACTGCCTATAGCCCATTTTCCTATTGTGTTCATTTTTTTCCATCCAAGTATAACCAGGCTCAACCCTGCTTAGCTTCTGTGATCAGATGAGATCGGGAGCATTTAGGGTGTGTAGTCGTAGACTTGTGCTCATTTTCTAATTGAAATGTAAGACTTGTTTTTTAAAAAGCATATTACACTTTGGTCATGCTTTATACAAGAGGGAAAATACATTCATATTTTGCCTTAAAATCACATTTTCTTTTTCTTGTAAAAGCAGTAACTTACTTTTGAAAAGAAAAAATAATAAGCAATATATACAATAATAATAACTCACAATAATACTAAGCTATAATAAAAGAGAAAAGCAACATATGGTAATTATTAACACTGTAAAAAGTATTTTCTAGACTTTTTTAGATAGGATAGAATAGATAGATAGATAGATAGATAGATAGATAGATAGATAGATAGATAGATAGAACAGATAGACAGATAGATAGATGATAATTTTAAGCAACAATAAAATCATACTGTTATATTGCTTCAAACTTTGCTTTTATCATTTACTATATCTTAACCATCTTCCAGATCAACAAGTATTCCTATGCAACATCACTTTTAATGCTTGAATAATATTCTTCTATATGAGTTTCTCATAATTTGTATGACTAGTAGTCTATTCTTGAACATTTGATTTATTTCTCTTTTTCACTATAAAATGTAATGTTTTGATAATCCTCATTACAAAATTTTGTGGGTATTTTTCTTAAATGATTTCTTTAGGTAAAATTCCTAGAAATGAAATATGTGTATTGAAGGGTACCTGTACTTTTAATGCTTCCAATATATTGAAAATTGTCTTTCTGAATTATTTTGTCAATGTATTTACCTCTTCCAGCCATTTCTTTCAACCTCACCAATACTAAATATATTAACATTTTAATCATTGCTAATACAATAGCTTAAATTTTCAATTTTGTAGCTTACACTTACATTTCTTTAAATACTGATTATTAAACACTTTTCAATATTTTGGGGACAAATGACTTGTGGCTTGTCTCCTATTGTTATTTTTCTATTGGATGTACCTTTCTTATTGCTTTGTAAAAGCACTTTATATATTAAAGCATTAGATTTTGACATACATGTTTCAACCACTACTGTCATGTTAAATATATAATGTATGCACTGGAGTTCCATGTGTCTTTTAATATAAATTTTTATTAATCAAGAAAGAATGCTGAAATTTCACTCTACTCAAATTATTTTCCCTAATTGATATGTTAATACATGCAATTGTGTGAATTGATTTCCTAATACTGATACATCATTGTGTTCTAGGAATAAACTCTATTTGAGTGTGTCACATTAATTTTATATGTAACTTCCAAATTTTATTTATTAACGCTTATTTGCATCTA